AAATAAATTATTTCTCCTAATTATGTCCTGGGTTTTAAGTAATTAATAATACAAAAGGAAAAATCACAAAAAACACTTAAGGTCATGAAAATTAATTGCGATCTAGCAATTCAATGAGGCATCCACCCTATTTATTGAAAAGTATCGGTATCGGCGATACTGGCCCGTATTTACTTGGTATCGGATCGATACCAAAATATGCAGTATGGCACACCACTACTGACGACCTCGCTAACCAGTTCCTGTGGATCTGTGATGTGACCTCTGACACTCAGCAGATGTGGGCGTAAACGTCTGCTGCTCGTCCAGACTCGAGCACTCGCTGTCCAACATCTACCACAGCCAATCAGTGTTTGTGATGTCATCATTCCAGTTTACTTACTTTAAGTGAAAATTAGATTAGCTTCTTAGATTAGCACGTCTAGCGTTAGCACATTTTGTGAGTCTGCCAGCTGTGAGTCTGCCAGCTGTGAGCTCAGAGGACAGATGTGATTTCTATCCTCTGATTGGCTAAAAACAGGTGAAGCTAAAACTACAGTGATGAGTAACAATAACCCGACGACACAGCTTTAAGGACTGTAAGCTTTCTGTGTGACGGCCAGCAGGGGGCGACGCCACTGAGCTTCATCACTGTAAATATTGTTCATCCATAAGAGCTGACTGGTTAACAGGCTGTGACTGATGAGTTGGTAGCCAATGCGAGAGCAGAGTGAAGTTTACTCTGAGCGGCCATCTTTGTCACTCATGTGGGCGTCTATTTTATTCTATTTTACTTTAGGCCAGATCTCGAATATCGTAATCTTCCCGTTCGCAGACATCAGTGATACAAACTCAGGTTGTGAGGTCACGACGTCACACGTGTTAAAAATGATACTAATCAGTCTGTTCCTGGCCCCGCCCACTGCAGCTCCATGGATACAGCTGATCAGCACACATCCTCCTGATTGGCCGTCTTTATAGAGAAACCGCAATCACAGCAGATGTTTGGATGTTTTTATTCTCACAAAACAAACTGACCAATAAGAACAGCTAATCAATAACAATACACACTTATCAGGGTCAGTGACCTCTGACCTCACAGCATCTCTGTACATTTACATGTTTCTAAACTAACATGAAGCCGATCGATACACGATCGATTTAGCTGCTGGGTCTGCGGGGCGTCTTCAGTATTTTGGTCTCTTCACGTCGACCCTGAAAAAATAAGTCTTCCATCATTTATGATGTCATACATAAGGTCACTGCTGCCTGATTGGCTGACAAAGTGATAAACGAGGAGCTGAGAACAAACAGGAAGTAGTTACCCGTCAGCCTCCATCTTCTTCCTCTTCTCGATGATCTGAAACAAAAACTGCTGCTTCAGCGTCGTGTTTGATTGGTTTACAGCGTGTGTGTGTCTGTGTTCACTCTGCCTGTGTGTGCGTGTCTGTCTCACACGATCTGATATCGTCGTGTTGGTGTTGTTCCCAGATCAACATAGTAAATGTTGTTCCAGGATCAACATTGCAAGTGACCAATCAGAATGTTGTGACGTCATACTTTTGGGACTTCGGGAAAAGCCGCTGTGAAACTGCGAGAAACCGCCTCTGTCCGCCGATCAACGGACCCTGAC